AATAATTTGTTTGTTTGGACAGACATTTGATTGGTTTCATCTTATTTGTGGGACTAACCGTCGCCAACATTATTCATCACGATAAATTCTTCCCCGTGGTAAGTGTCCTCTTGAATTACCAAATCTTTTATGTTCACACTGAATCTCAATTTAACCTCGAGATCCACATGCAACCACTATTTTAAATTTCAAATTATTCAAAGTAGATGTATCAAGTAGAAATAGTTATCTAGCTTGTTGGTTTTGATTAATATTTGCTATTTTTTGGGAGTTGTTATGATGATTATGAATATTAATTCTTGAGATCAATCGAGATATCAAATGTCGACATGAATCGAAAAAATGAATCTTAACGTATCTTTGGAAAATCTCACAGAGAGACAAATTCTAATTTTTCTATATATCTAGTTTTTCTTTGTATTTCAAGCAATGAATAACGTTTTATTGGTTCATGTATACTTATTTGATTCCATATGAATTTACTTTTGTTTTGATATTTTTTTTTAGATAACTAGAAGATTTCAAAGTATGACTCTTTGTATTTTTAACAAAAATATTTGTTAAAATAATCCATCATTTGTAATTCAAAATTATTGATTGAATAACTTCATTTTAATTAGTAGTAAGAAACTATAGAACAAATAACACAAGATTTTAAGATTAAAAGACTTTGCATAGATTTTTAAATCAACTATAATCTCTGATCCAATAAACACCTCTAAATAAAAATGAAGTAGTTCTCAAAACTTATGATCATGGTATCAATGTTGATTATTGTAGGATGCAAAGAGTCCAGGGAATGTAACAAGATGGCCATTCTTCGTCTTCTTAGGAGGCTCAATGTTCTGCCTACTCGCAAGCAGCATTTGTCACCTCTTCTGTTGCCACTCCAAAGACCTCAATGTCTTCCTCCTCCGCATAGACTATGCCGGTATCACGGCCATGATCATCACTTCTTTCTTTCCACCAATCTTCTACATTTTCCAGTGCACTCCTCGTTGGTACTTCATCTACCTATCAGGCATCACCTTGATGGGAATCTTCACAATCATCACACTATTCACTCCATCACTTTCCTCTCCCAAATACCGGGCTTTTCGCGCTTTGCTCTTCGCCTCCATGGGGCTCTTTGGGATCGTGCCAGCTGTCCACGCGCTAGTGGTCAACTGGGGAAACCCGCAAAGGAACGTGACGCTCGTGTATGAGTTGGCCATGGCCGTGTTCTATCTTGTGGGGACAGGGTTCTATGTAGGGAGAGTGCCTGAGAGGCTTAAACCGGGATGGTTTGATCGTGTGGGACATAGTCATCAGATCTTCCATGTGTTCGTTGTGTTGGGTGCTTTGTCTCACTATGCAGCTGCTCTCTTGTTCTTGGATTGGCGTGACCATGTTGGTTGTTAAACCATATTTGTAATTCTTTTGGAGATTAAAAACAAAAATTATTAGTTTGTTTGTATCACGTGAAAAAAAAAATTGTAGTAACCCATTTGATTTTCCTTTTAAATGCATAAATTAAATGATTAAATGTCTTTTCCCTTCAAAAGGCTCCTGCAATAGCATCATCTTCTTTCAACTAAAATTGTTCATTACCCTTCAGGTTAAGTAATACGTAAAACTATTCCCACGACTCTCTTTTTTACAATTACATTAGAACGTAGTTTGTCTTCTAAAACATAAGATCGAGACTAATGGCTTGAGACTTGAGTGACCAATCTATAAAGTTGCTGTCATTATTGAAAATTTGCATTAACAAAAAATTGTGCAACCATCAAAATTTGATTAATAGTTTTCACCAACGAACGATGATAATTGCTCTCTATTAGTACATTATAGAACAATTTACAGTTGTTAGTTATTTTTCACAGTTAAGAAATTACTGTTTGCTAAATCAAAACATTTTGTTAAGTACATAAAAATATACATAAAGCAATTAATATATACAATTCAAAATTACTACTATTGTCGTATTTGATTGGGAAAAAAAAACGGTTTTAGATCCATATTATCTATGGCTTTACTTTTAATTATGTGCTTTGTCCAATGTATCACTTGATTTGTGGTGGTTGTTGCATTGATATGTTTAACAGTGACCAATTGATGAAAATATTGGAGAA